GCAGAGAAATTGCTTTTGATTGATTTTTTGTTTTTGTCATATGTTTTTCTTTTTGTTCTCTGTATACTCTTACAAAAAAAAATATGACTACTATTCTAGTAGTCACATTTTTTTTTTTCTCTGAAGGGGGGAGGAGTGTTACGACCCTGGGTTCTCCAGTGGAAACCAGAGGTCAAAATTGAGCTATTAAACTTCCTAAGTAGTACAGTTGGCGCATTTCGAATGGAAATTGTTTGTATCTTCCCTGCCAGACGTAAGACTATTATTGTTTCTCAAAGAGCATTTAAAGACTGAGCTGGGGGTTGATTATTAAATAATAACATAGGCACCAACTTTGCTTACTAATACTTTCTAATCACTCATAAAGTAACAATACGTTGCATAGGGGAAGATCTTTAATGTGCTTAGCTGCACGATCAATTAGGCTCCTTCCGGCACCACGACATGAGGGAGGCCAGGTGGTCGCAGGAGCTCGCTCTTCTCTTGGCTGGTGGCGTGAGGTTAAGACCTACTCTGTGGCTGCTCCCCTACTCTCCTTCCTTCTCCTCTTACTTATTTCCCTTACCTGAAGTTCCTGTATCCTTAAGCTAAGTACAGGGCATTAGTGAGTGTGCCTACTCTGGTAGTAACGATTGGTGAGACCTGGGGATAGTATTTTGCCAGTGTTTGGGTACCCCTAAGTGTTGTGTTTTGTATTAGGGTCCCACGTGGTTTCACTACCCTAAGCTGCATCCAGCTTCAGTGCTTATCCAGTAGTACTTTACCCTAGCTTGTTATTAGTGTAAACCTTGTATCCTGCCTACGTGGACCAAGGCTTTTAACGTAAGATAGTGTGGTAAAGTTATTATTATTATTGTTATTGGTGTGAGTGTATATGGGGGGTTGTTAACGGGTTAATAAATAAGTACATGAATTACAGAGTATCTCTTCTTCCAAGGTGGGAGCGCAGTGATCAACCCTTAGACTAACATATTTGGTCTTGTAGCAAGTTATTACTACTGTGGATAGTTTATTTTGGGGGCCGGGCCTTTTAGCTCTCCCATATTTGATACTCCTGTCTTCTAACTACCTATACCCCTTAATAGTACCAGTACCCCATAGAAGCCCCACTCATATCAGTTGTGAACACATCGGTAATCTTACTTCTTAGCACTCTCTCAAAAAATTTTATGATGTGCGATGTTAGTGCTATCGGTCTGTAATTTTTTGCCTCTGCCTTATTTCCTCCTTTATGAAGTGGTGCTATCTCTGCTGTTTTTAGTATATCAGGAATAACGCCAGTATCTAGGCTTTGTCTCCACAGAATGTGGAGGGCCTGCGATAGTGGTTTTTTACAGTTCTTGATGAATATGGAGTTCCAAGAATCCGGGCCTGGTGCAGAGTGCATAGGCATACTGTTTATGGCTTCTTCAAAATCCAGTGGGGATAGGGTGACGTCTGATATATGATTTGATGTTGGTATCATATCCATGAAAAATTCATTTGGGTTGTCAATCTTTAGTGAGTTTAATGGCTCACTGAAAACAGAGTCGTACTGCTTCCTCAGTAACTCGCTCATTTCTTTGTTGTCATCTGTGAAAGTTCCATCTCCCTTTCGCAGGGGCCCGATACTAGATGTGGTTTTTTATCTTGATTTTGCATAGGAGAAAAAATATTTCGGATTTCTTTCTATTTCACTGATTGCCATTTGCTCTCTTTGCCTCTCCTGGGTTTTGTATGATTCTTGTAGCTTGCGTTCAATTGTTTTTATTTCTCTACCTAACCTTCTTCGCCGTTCTTGAGATAGGGTGCGACTCTCAAGTTGTTCCGCGATTCGTTTTCTTCGCCTATATAGGGAACGACGTTCCCGTTCCAATCTGCATCTCTTCCTCTTTTTTCTTAGGGGTATGCGGTTTGAACATATTTCTAGTGCTACTGAGCTTATTTTTTCCAGGCACTGGTTCAGGTTTGCATTTTCTAGCTGTTCTTCCCAGTTTATTTCTGTGAAGTCCTGGTTTATTTGCTCCCAGTTTATCTGTTTATTATTGAAGTTGAATTTGCTGAAATCTCCTCCACCGGGAATCTGGACTGGTTTTGAAGGTCTACTCCCCATGGTTGTCATAACTTCAATTAAGTTGTGATCTGAGTAACAGGTATTTGTAATCATTCTGTTCCTGATCAATTCATCATTATTAGTGAAAATGAGGTCCAGCGTGTTCTCCTTCCTAGTTGGTTCTACTATTTGCTGGTTTAAGGCAAACCTGTCGCACATCCGTAGCAGGTCATTTGCATGTGCCTGTTCATTTAGGCTACTTCCTGGTATTCTTTCTGATATTACTGTATTAGCCAGGTGTTTCCATTTCAGGTGCCGTAGGTTGAAGTCCCCAAGCAGGATGATGTTCGGAGCTGGATTTGTGAGGTTTTCCAAGCAGTGCTCTATTTTCATTAGTTGGTCTTTAAACTGCTGAGGGTTTGCCTCCGGTGACTTATATACAAGGACAATAACTACATTTAGAATCTCTATTTTGATTATCAGCACTTCCACCAACTGACCATGTTGCTGCATCTCTTAGGAAGGCTGAAACAAAGGTTAGGTCTAATCTACCTCCTTGGATGTGGATAGGTTCATTCTTGTTTAGCATTTGGATTTCTGGAAGCTGGTCTAATAGATGTGTAATGTGAATGCCGGCTTCATTTGTTCTGTTCGAGCCCAGTGCCAATCGATGATGGGCATTAAAATCTCCACAAATGATTGTGTTTGTTGTTGTCGCGTGTCCAAATAACACAGAGAGATCCATTTCGGCTTGTGGAGACCTGTACACATTGAACACTTCAAGTTTGTCGTGTCTTAGCTCAATGGTGACTCCCATTACCTCTGTCCCTGCTCCACAATTGGGTGGGCTGGTTATGGACTTGGAGATCAGGTCACATTTTACATAGATTGCACATCCCCTGGATGGCCCATTGATCCATGGAAGGAAGAAGCCTCGATAGCCTGAGATTTTAGGTTCTAATCCGGCTCGAAGCAAGCTCTCCTGTAGTATCAGGATGTCTATGCCCTTGGTTGCTGCTATGCATTGCAAGTGTTGCAATTTAGTGCGCAGTCCTTGCGCATTCCATTGCAGGATCTTTAGACCTCTAGGTTCTTGGAATTTGCTGATAATTCCGTGGTATCCATGGAGTCTGATGAACACGCCATGGAAGTTGCAATTGGTGTATAGGTACTTAGTGGACCTGAAATTGACTCATCAACGTCGCTTTCCGACGAGCTGGACTCTATCTGTTTTTTATGGGGGTGTCTCCTACCCTGCTGTCTTGTAGGTGAGGATATTACATTTACGAATTTCTTGAGCTTGTGCTCAATTGTCTTCCAAGTCTCTGTGGTTTGCTTGATACCATGTGATGACAGCAGACTTTCGATCAATTCGGTGGCCAAAGTTTTGAGCATTGGCCAGAGAGCGTCCAGTTCTGTAGGAGCACTATTTAATGCTGTGCAGGTTTGGGGCCTGGTAGCTTTTAGACCCTTCTCGGTGGTAACTTTGACACTGGAATTGTAACTCCTATTGGCCCCAGTGTGCTTACTGGATAAAATGGGAGGCCGACTGCTTTGAACATGATTCTTGTGTCCTCCATCTTTCTTTTTGTCCTGTACAGAGGTCTTCTCACCCTTCACCATGGCCGATGGTGAAGGGCCGTGTGCCCCCTCTTCCTGAATGGGTAGACCCCACGCGGTTTTAGTGGGCAGGGGAGCTGGTATAAGTTTTGGTGGGGGCTTCGGCTCTGCTGTAGGCGTGGTGGGGCTCGTTTCAAGCCTTTTGTCAACCATTCTTTGTAAAAATTTATTGTATGTATGTACCTTACCTAAATAAACATTTTATTTTTATTTTATATTTTATTTTGAGCCTTTTAGTGCATTTCAAGCTTCAGGCATGATGTGCCTTGGAGCAATTTGGGCACTTTGCCTAGACAGGGTGGTTTGCCTTGTGTTTATCAAAGCATATTTTTGTGTCATGGGGCTGGCTGCAGACTCCGCACCTCACTGGGCGTTGGCAGCCATCTTTGTGATGCCCAAATCTCTGACATCTAAAGCATCTTAGGGGTTCTGGGGTGTAAGGCCTGTGTTGGAACACGCCCCAGATTCCAAGGTCAAGTTTCTCTAGGATCCGTCCTCTTACTGTGAGAAGGACTTGTCGAGTTTCCTGTTTTGTGGTTCTTACTTGGCATCTCTCTGCTGACACCACATAGTTCAGTTTTTCAAGATGGTCAAGGGCCATATACAAGGGATAGTGGAGGACAATGATTTTTCGTATTTTATCATCTGGTTTCAGTTCCTCACATTTTGTGTAATTTTTCAGAATCGTTGCGGCCGACTCATCTTTGGGCCTCGGAATATATTCTCCTCTGAGATTTGGTTTAGCTCTGATCTGGAGCTGGGGGTACTCTTTTTCGAGGTCCTCTACAGTGGCATAGGAAGACTTACCTTCGGTATGCTGCACCTTGAAGATTGGCAGTGTAGATTTAGTCTGAGGAGCTGGAAGAGCTGGAGAAGATGGAGTGATTGTCGGACGATGGGTCGTCATGGAGTGGCTTGTCCTGTTTGCCTTAGTCACGTGATTCCACTCGCCATCACTTTCAGAACTTGTATCGAGTATAGATTTTCTTTTCCTACACTGAGCAGCATTGCTGGATCTATTACAATTCAATTGGAATTCCATGATTTAAATTCAAATGCTCACTGTGGAGTGGTCTGCTGAGTGAAGGTGATGCTCTGTGCTACTGGAGACAAAGTCAGCGTGCAGTTGGCTCACTGGGTGAACTGTGACTTTTGGCATTGTATGTACTAGCTTTATCTATAGTATCCAACAACATGTTTGTATCTCACCTTGTATGTATGTACTTTACCCGAATAAAATTTTATTTTATTTTATTTTATTTTATAAATAAATAAAGAAAGAAAGAAAGAAGGAAATAGGATAATGGTTGCTCACCAAAGAAAACGTAAATGATATCATTGTGACGAAGCGATGGTTTGACTTGACGACAACAACAATGGTGCACACTCCAACGCAGATAACTGATTCATGCTCAGCGAAGGCAGAGGAATGAAGGTAATTAGAAAGTTATTCAATTTAATATATACTGGATATGGAAAAGGACGACTGCATATGTATTAGTAAGTTCAGCAGGGCTCAGAAGAATCCACCCCTCTTAACTGAAGCGGGTTATATTATCAAGGGTACCGCCAAACTTTCACAGGTGTGTTGAAAATGCTCGTTTCTTAACTGTTAAATGAGTTAACCAAAGAATCTGCATTTAAAGGAGAAATTGAGTATAACCTTGGATTGCCTGTAAGCAGTCTGAGAGCAGCAGTACACCAAGAACTTCAACAAAATGTAGATCTGAGGCAAAGGGAAATCGACTCCACTAATGCTGTTCCGAACCTTAATAGAATCAGACCCATATATTAATCAGGTCAACCCATGTGTTGCGTTTACAAAAGGGTCGCCTATGTTGGAATCGGTGAATGCCCTAGTAATATTGTTGAAAACATCTTAATAACTTATTAAACCAAGGTCTTTTTATGTCAGAAGAATGGCAGAAACTGGATCTATGTATGAAAACTCTTCAGGACAAAATTTAAAGTAAAACTGAAGATATTTGTAGTTGTATAAAAGTTGCATTTTTCATCGGTTGTAGAGCTGGAAATCCGCAATATTCATCTCGGAACAATGCTTATTTCACGCAGAATCTTTAATAAACGTAAGAGGTTTATACGTCTCAAGAAAGATAGAAACATAATCTTCATTTTAAATGCCTTACCATGGGCATATTTGTATTTAAAGCGAAGATACATGTATTTTTATAATCGGCGAGCTCCAATCCCGCACTGATCGAGCAACGGAGTAACTCTCTCTCAGAACAATGATTATTTCATGTAAATTCATTAATAAACACAAATGTTTTATATGTCTTGAGAAAGATAGAAATATAAGCTTTATTTTAAATACTTTACCATAGAAATATATAAAGTTCTAATGAAGATACATGTGTTTTAATAATCGCAGAGCTCCGACCCCACACAGACTGATCGACAGAGCAACTCTCTCTCAGAACAATGCTTATTTCACGTAAATTTGTTAATAAACACATATGTTTTATATGCCTTAAGAAAGATAGAAATATAAGCTTCATTTTAAATACTTTACCATAGACATCTAATCAACTGTTTACTAACTACTTTTTTTTTTTTTTTTTTTTTTCTTCCCCACACCACACACACCCCAGGAAGCAGCCCGTGACAGCTGACTAACTCCCAGGTACCTATTTACTGCTAGGTAACAGGGGCATTCAGGGTGAAAGAAACTTTGCCCATTTGTTTCTGCCTCGTGCGGGAATCGAACCCGCGCCACAGAATTACGAATCCTGCGCGCTATCCACCAGGCTACGAGGCCCCCCGAGGCGTATGGAAGATGGTGAGGAGGGAGGGAGGGGAAGAGGTGTTACTGTTTGGCAGGGAAGTCCCCTTCCATTATAACATCAGGCAGTGAGGACTTCACTGGTGTGCACACTCTGGCACGTTTTGCCTGCATACCACTAAGACTTGCTTGTCTTACTAAGAATCTGTCTAAAGACACTTGTTTTTCCCCATATTTTAACACTTGTCTGTAGTAAGACATCACATTTTCATATAAAAGGTCAATGCAACGGCCTGCTACAGCTTTATCTGGGTGAGTTTTTTCAACAAAACTTTGCAATTCTTCCCATACTTCACACATTTTCTTAACACTTTAGCGTTATCATGGCGCTCGAGAGCGTTACCACTTTTTGTGTTGAGGTCGCACAGCGGACTCACTCACGAGTCATGAGAAAAAATATTTCTATAAACTATTTGTTATGCGATCGACTTTGGATAGTTTGCAAATGTCCGCCATGAAATTTCCGTTTTCTCTAATAGCCGCATAGCCTATTTGGGAGAACGATAGCATTGCACCATCGAGGTAAGACCATTGTATTGTTGACACGACAAGTGTAATCGACATAGTTTTTTATTTGGTGCCGGTCTAATGCATCCTTGTGTGACATTTTATACTTATGTTCTTCTAGAACATTCTATTGCGAACACATTGGTACAAAAATGAAATACGTACGTCGAAAATTATTATTATCATATTATTATCGTTATTATTATAACGTTCTTATCTAATAATTGTAAGCAAAGGTGTTTTGTATCAATTTAGGATTTGATGCCAGTTCCTTTCTGACTTCCAGCCTAATGTTTGTTTTATCCTGATTGCTGCAGTGTTTGACTTCCTTTACTGCTTCTACTATTTTTTCCTTCTCCTTGGCCACTTGTGAATAGGTGAGTTGCATATCTTTCTTGCACTGTTCTATTCCCTGTGTAACTTCCTCCAACTGTACTGACAAAAGCTGTTTTTCCTGTTGAATTTTCTTACCTAAACTATTGTAGTTTAAGTTTAAATTTGCTTTAACTTCTTCCAAAGCTATTTTTAAGAGTTTATTTTCCTCTTCCATGGCTTTGCAATTTGTTTCCAGTTGATTCTTGTCCTTGCATAAGTCTTTCACTAACCCCTCAAGACCTAAAGCCTTGCCACTCAAGTGCTCATTATTTTCTTTCAATTTGTTGATTATTTCTACATGGTTATCTTGAGATGATTTCGGGGCTTTTAGTGTCCCCGCGGCCCGGTCCTCGACCAGGCCTCCACCCCCAGGAAGCAGCCCGTGACAGCTGACTAACACCCAGGTACCTATTTTACTGCTAGGTAACAGGGGCATAGGATGAAAGAAACTCTACCCATTGTTTCTCGCTGGCGCCCGGGATCGAACCCGGGACCACAGGATCACAAGTCCAGCGTGCTGTCGCTTGGCCGACCGGCTCCCTAAGTTCACTATAATATCTAATTTTGCCAATTTGTTGTGTAGACTGCTTATATCAATGCTTTCTTCATTAAAACCCCCAAAATCTAGCTCTGTTTTGTTTTCCTTCTTGCTGGTGGCCATCTTGAATGTTTTTGTCTGGACTGTAAACATTAGGGTCACTTTTTCTCATTCAATTTTTCACTTCACTTGGTACATTTGTGTTATCTCGCCTATTTTTCTAAAGCACTACCTTTTATGTTCCTTGGGACACACTCACTATCATCAACCTGTACTACAATACTTAGGAATTGTGAAATACACTGTATCCTGGAGCTCCTCTGATGCAGGTGCTGACACTAGGGGTGTCATCTTTTTGACAAACTTGTGGTGCGCCGAAGGTAAGGTATTCCCCAAAAATTTGTTCTTAAAATCGTTCTCTGTTTACAAGAAACTTAAAAAAAAAAGTCTGCCTACAGGAAACTTAAAAAAAAAAGTCTGCCACTGTATTACATTGTTTTGCTCCAGTATTTTTGTTATCTTGCTCCATCTATGTTAGCATATACAATTTTCAAGAACATGTTCCCTCTTTTGTTCTTTAATCCCTCCTTTTTCTGGTGAGTTTCTTGATCTGAAATTTTTTACCATTTCACAGGCTTGCCTACTCCTATCACCTTGTAGAAAAAAATTATTTATTTCTTCTTCGTTCCTGCTCTCATTTAGACGTTTTGCCTCTATGAGATTCAGTTTCGGTGTCTTCCTGTGAAAGATCTCATCTTAATGACCATAATTATCCTTCCTCATCCCTTTGTAACTTCCTTACATTCCTGAGTACTTCTTTGATCTGTTTAGCACCATTTAGGGTGATTCTCAAGGGTCAATCTTTCCCTTTTTCATACCTGCCAATTCTCCTGTAGTCACAGACATTATCTTTGGTGTTAAAGTGCATGTTTAGGTACATATTTATAGCTTCAGATATTTTAAAAGCTGCACTGTTTGGTTCTTGAGAGCAAGAATTTATTTAAATTATTTGTCCCCAAACTTCCATATTACCTGGTTGAGTGTCCCTCCAGACTTCCCAAAGAATAGGAAGAGAATGGCAGGAATTTCAGTAATTTCCAATACATATGAGAGAAGCTTGTTTGAAGAAATGTTTAGTCAGATAAGAATTTAAATTGTATATTAGTTTAAGTTTCCTCTAATAGTGTTCACACAATTAAATATTTCATTTATTTCTTTTTGAAATGTTAGGAGCTAGTGGACAATGGTCATGCAACAGGTATTATACATGTTTTTCTTGTTTTGTTTTCAGGTTTATTCACACAGCTCTTCCAACAACAACAACAACAACAACAACAAAGTAAAGCATTTTCAAGTAATACTTGAGGATGATGATGATGAAGAAGATGCACTCCTTATGGATGAATGGCTGTATATAGATTCCAACAGTAGTGATGATGAGGGTGACTCGACGAATCAAAGAGTGGTATTTGGAGATTCATCTCCAAATATTGTTGCTTCCACCAATGCAGCTGGCATCCAAGCTCAAATACCAGTGTCTGATTCACTGACTGATCAGATACCTCAGGTAGGAGGAAGCAGTGAAAATGAAACACAAATAGGTCTTCCATCAACGGTTCCTTGCAATAAAATTGCAGATTTGCAAGCCCCATCAACAAGTGCAGCTTCACCGGCAACTGTGAGCCCTCACTGTGTAACGTCTGAATATTCTGCTTTACATCTGCCCACTTCAGAGATCTCTCTAGCTGTGCCTTTACACAAAATAAACAAGAGCATCTCTAATTTGGTTGTAGGATCACAAGAGGAGGATGCTAAAGGGAAATGTTACAATGCTGCAGAAACAAATGAAGGTAAAACTAATTCCTTGTATAAAAGACATAAGTATACAGATGGCATAAATAAGGAGAAGCTTGTATCCAATGATGAAATAGAGGTAATAGATGTAAGCAATAATGAAAGTGCCGTTCCATTAGAATCAAAGTCTGATAAAATTTTAGGACAAGGCACAAAATATTCATCTCAGTATGTTGGTTGTCCGCCATGCAGACTAATGACAGTAAAACCTCAATGCCCTAAACCCGAGGACATTATTTTGTGTGAACCTAGTGCTGCTTCCTTACCACACAGTGTGGCTGCTAGACAATCTTTTGCCAAAACTGCTCAAGAAAAGTCTTTGTTAAGGAAATCAGATTGTTTTAAACTTAATGTAAATGATCATAGTAATAAGCATAATACTGATGCTGTTGTTGTTTTATCCGATGATGATGATGATGATGATATAGCTCTTATAGAACTTGAAAATTCAAAGAATACAACAAATACAACAAAATCCAAAAAAGTATGTGACTCACCATATATATGTATCGATTTAGAAAACTCTTCAGTTTCTGAGCATAGGAGAAGACAAAAGGAGAGCAAATTAAGCAAAAATAAGGTCTCCTCAAGTGCAAAGGAAAATTCAGAGAGAGCATCCGTAGGCAGCTGTATTCCTTCTGTGCCGCCTTGCAGTCTACAGTCAAATGGTTCCCCGCCTCATGAAAATGGGGAATGGAATAATAATAATGGTGATAATTGTCCTCCATCTGTATCTGTTCCTTCATACAACACAAGCTGTGTAGGCAACCAACAGTCCTCAGTTTTGGCTGAGAAAGATGGTCAAGATTTGCATAATTTTGCAGTGAATAAGAAGGGCCTGTGCCAAGACCCATCTTCTTTGGCTGGAACTAATAGATCTCAGTGTGGATATAATATAATTACAAAAGTTAGCCCTCAAAGATCATGCATCAACAGCAACAGAAAAGATTATCAGTTCTTGACTAGTTTAATCAGAGAAAACAGTGCACAGCTTCCAGTTAATTTAAGGTCAGATAATCACCAACAACCTCGTCGCAACTTAGTGTTGGATGATCCCGTAACGTCTTCTAATTTAAACAAAGAAGATGGCCCACAAGAACCTTTTGAATTAAGCAAGGGAAGGGACACTCAAGAATCTTCTAACTTGAACAAGGGTTTAGACAACTATGGACCAACGAACCTAAGTAAGTGCAGTTCTGTTTTAAAATTATAGTTTTATTGTAAAAGTTTCACAGGAATTGCAGTATGGCAGGTTTAAAAATTGATGGTTATGAGTGCTGTAATTACATTAAGAGTACAGTTTTCGAGTTGTAAGTAAATTGAGGTGCTTTGTGTTTCATCAGTCTGTGGCATAGGAGAAGTTAAGAGTAACACGCACGACGCTTCTGGATGTAGGACATTTTCTTTTTCAGAATTCATTCTGGTGTCTGCATGTATTTTATTTAGGAATTCTGAATTGCAGAATTCTACATATGGCTGCATCATTTTTCTTATCTATGGACATCAAATTTTTCCCCCGAATTTTTAGGATGATGAGCCACTTACCTATACAAGGCAGGTATAGTCTGGGTCTGGCATTTGGTCTGGGTCCCGACGTGCCCAGAAACCATGTGGTCGTCCGAATCTTTATTTCTTCTTATTTGCCAGTTTCCATGCACTCACCTAGTTGTCCTTACCTAGTTGTGCTTGCAGGGGTTGAGCTCTGGGTCTTCGGGCCCACCTCTCAACTGTCAATCAACTAATTTTTTATTTTATTTTTTTTCTCTCCACACACACAAACACACACAGTTGATAAACTCAATTTAAAGAGAGGTCACTATGGGGAACTTCAAAAAAAATTTAATGAGTGTAATTGGACAGACTTGTTGCTAGGCAAGGAAGTGAATGAAATGTATGCCAAATTTTGCAAAATATACGATGAAGGCACACAAACACTCATACACATTCATACACATTCATACATACACATTCATACTTGAGGGGCCTGGTAGCCTGGTTGATAGTGCACAGGACTCGTAATTCTGTGGCGCGGGTTCGATTCCTGCACGAGGCAGAAACAAATGGGCAAAGTTTCTTTCACCCTGACTGCCCCTGTTACCTAGCAGTAAATAGGTACCTGGGAGTTAGTCAGCTGTCGTGGACTGCTTCCTGGGGTGTGTGTGTGTGGTGTGGAAAAAAAAAGTAGTTAGTAAACAGTTGACTGACAGTTGAGAGGCTGGCCGAAAGAGCAAAGCTCAACCCCGGCAAACACAACTAGGTGAATACACCTTCGGAGAACCAGACACAATAAGAATTCCAGAAAACAGCATAGAGCACATAGAGGTGTCTAGAGATGAAGTGAAACAAATGCTCTTGGAGCTAAGTAAGAACAAATCAGTTGGCCCAGATGGCATTTCCCCATGGGTTCTGAGAAAATGGGCAACTGAGCTTAGCATTCCACTTCACCTGATCTTTCAGGCATCCCTGTGTAAAGGAGTTGTAGCTGATGTGTGGAAAAAGGCTAACATAGTTCCAATCTACAAAAGTGGCAGCAGGGATTATATTTTTCAATTATAATCCCCTCAATTATAGACCTGTATGAACAAATCCACAAGGGCCATGACGAGGATTCGAACCTGCGTTCGGGAGCATCCCAGACACTGCCTTAAGGGGGCGTCAGGTTGTCAGAGTCAAAGTTGTTCAATGTCAACCAATATTATTTGACTAGTTGTATATGAAAAGTGCTTTAATTGTCCCAAGTTTCAGTACTGCAGCATAAATAGAAAGGGAGATTTTTTTGTTTTTGTTTTTTTCAACGTTTTTTACACATTTTCAAGTCCACACTTCAGAACACACGTTTCAGATATAATTATTCTGTGACACTTTTCTGACACATTAGCATATAATAAAGGACATTGACATATAGAATTTCGAAAACATCTTTAGTTTTCCTAATACAAATGTTCAAAGTTCCCAAAATTTTTTTTGCAAATATGGCATGTTTATTGCTATTATAAAATCAATAAATGAACTTAGAGAAAAATGAAAACTCTCCAATGTAGAGACATGCCCTCCACATATACTGTGTAAGTTTCATGTAAATTGAATAAAAAATGAATCAGTTTTGTAAACGTTTATGTCAATTGAAAAAAAAACAGAAATTAATAAAGTCTAAGGTTCTAAAATCTGTGGCTGAGGTTGACATCAACCAATTTTCTCCAAAATTGGCATCCTTACAGATAGGCTTACGTACTGTCAGGTGTGTAAGTTTGATGCAAATCGTCCGAAAAAAAATGAAAAAAAAAAAAAAATGCTTTTTTTATTTTTCTTAATTTTTTTTTTCAATTAAACTAATTATAATATTTGTTTAATATATGCTATTGTGATAGCAAAGAGTCATAGCTATGATTTCAGTTGACACTTTTGATTGATAATCGATTTTAACCATTTTGGCATAATTTTCACAACTACTTCAATATTTTTTTTCTCCCTTTCTATTTATGCTACGATGCTGAAACTTGGACCAGATGAAACACTTTTCATATAGAACTTGTCAAAAAAGTTTGATTGAAATTGAACGAGTTTTCATTTGTTGCATTTTTAGGGCAAATTGGAATCTGAGGCCCCCTTAATTGATTGAGCTATGACAGGGTTAAAAAGAGTTGAAACCGAAGTTCTACTGAACTTACTGGATCCCGCAGCCTCTCCGAGGCACAAACCAAGGTTTTACACAACTCCCCCCTGCACTCGAGCTATGTCAATAGGCCGTTCTCCCTCTTCGCCCTTATATCATTACACACAGAAATCACACTAACGTGATGCATCAAATGAACTTGTGGATTTGTTCATTTGATGCATCACATTAGTGTGATTTCTGTGTGTAATAGACCTGTATCATTGACAAGTGTAATTGTCAAAATATTGAAAAAAATAATTAAAACTAAATGGGTAGAACAACTGGAGAAAAACGATATAATACCAGACAGACAGTATGGTTTTCTCTCTGGAAGATCCTGTGTAACGAATTTACTCAGTTTCTATGATTGAACCACAGAGATTTTACAGGAAAGAGATGGTTGGGTTGACTGCATCTATCTGGACCTAAAAAAAAGGCTTTCGATAGAGTTCCACATAAGAGGTTGTTCTGGAAACTGGAACATATAGGAGGTGTGACAGGTAAGCTTCTAACATGGATGAAAAATTTTCTGATAGAAAAATGAGGGCAGTTATCAGAGGCAATGTATCAGACTGGAGGAATGTCACAATTGGAGTACCACAGGGATTCAGTTCTTGCACCAGTGATGTTTATTGTCTACATAAATGAGCTATCATATGGACTACAGAATTATATGAACATGTTTGCTGTTGATGCTAAGATAATAGGGAACATAAAAAACTTAGATGATTGCTATGCCCTCCAAGAAGACCTGGATAAAATAAGTATATGGAGCAACACTTGGCAAATGGAATTTAATGTGAATAAATTCCATGTTATGGAATGTGGAATAGGAGAACATAGACCCCACACAACTTATAAATTATGTGAGGAAATCTTGAAGAAATCCACAAGGGTCGTGACGAGAATTCGAACCTGCGTCCGGGAGCATCCCAGATACTGCCTTAATTGACTGAGCTACGACAGGGTTAAAAAGAGTTGAAACCAAAGTTCTACTGAACTTACTGGATCCCGCAGTCTCTCTGAGGCACAAACCAGGGTTTTTACACAACTCCCCCTTGCACTCAAGCTATGTCAATAGGCCGTTCTCCCTCTTCGCCCTTACATCATTACACATAGAGATCACACTAACGTGATGCATCAAATGAACAAATCCACAAGGGCCGTGACGAGGATTCGAACCTGCATCCAGGAGCATCCCAGACACTGCCTTAATCGACTGAGCTACGACAGGGTTAAAGAGTTGAAACCGAAGTTCTACTGAACCTATTGACATAGCTCGAGTGCAGGGGGGAGTTGTGTAAAACCCTGGTTTGTGGCTCGGAGAGGCTGCGGGATCCAGTAAGTTCAGTAGAACTTTGGTTTCAACTCTTTTTAACCCTGTCGTAGCTCAGTCGATTAAGGCAGTGTCTAAGATGCTCCCGGACGCAGGTTCAAATCCTCATCACGGCCTTTGTGGATTTGTTCATTTGATGCATCACGTTGGTGTGGTCTCTGTGTGTAATGAGAAATCTTTATTGAATTCTGATAAAGAGAGAGATCTAGGGGTGGTTCTAGATTAAAAAAAAACTGTCACCTGAGGACCAAATTAAGAACATCGTGCGAGGAGCCTATGCTACACTTTCTAACTTCAGAATTGCTTTTAAATACATGAATGGAGAAATACTAAGGAAATTGTTCACGATTTGTTAGACCAAAGCTGGAATGTGCAATTTTTTCTTGGGGAAGCCCCTACGGCTCCCCGGAGCTATCCGTGGCTGATATGAATACTCTAACTACTTTGCATCAGTCGATGTGGGTGGAGTTCTAGCCTGCCGGGGACCACGAGCCAGAACCTAGCCCCCTCACAGAGGCACGGGGAGCAATGGCCCATAGAAATGCACATGTGATTTGTAGCATTCTATATCTGCCATCGACCGGGACAGACACTCAGAAAGGTAAGCGCCACAAAACAAACCCCTATTCTGGTTAGCAACAAAAATTGTCAAACGAGTGGACAGAACTCCCCCAAAGAAAAATGAGCAAACAAGCATTTATTTATAAAGATGTGTTGTTAAATATGACCGAAAAAGTCAGATTAATAATTCTAACACGAATTTTCTCAATATTTCTTATGTTTCTTTTTACTGTCGATGGTAATTGAAAAACCAATTCTCCAAAATTCATTTTTATTTCTAGTCTGACGCGACGCTTGAACGCGTTTCATAATAACGTATTACATTTTCAAAGACTTTAATTTACACACACACAACTGTAACCTGAAAACGCTTTGTTAAGTGTTTAACCCTTTAACTGTGCGGCCTATAAATATGACACCCCCCCAGTGCGCAGGAAATAAATTCTCTTGAATTTTTTTTTTTTTTTTTTTTTTTAGTGTCAAAAATCCTTCCCTCAGTATGAGTGTGTCAAAAAAATTTCGAACTTGTACTTACTTTGGCTGCTATGGGGTCCGTAAGTTGGTGCGTGACGTCGTCATTCCCCATTCGCCCGTGCCGTAAGCTCCTGGGGCCAATAGGGCGCCCGGGGCGG